GTAGCTCTAAATTCTAAAATCATTTTATTTAGTAAATATAACCTCGAAAAAGTCGGCTATCCCACTAATATTTTTCGGTGCGTTCTTTAAATTTTAACCCGTAGTAGCGAATTTAATGGTTTTTACGGACACTTTTTAGTACACAGTCTGTACTCCTTACTTCTACACTCCATAGATATGGTATTAACGTCAATAGCGTGTACGTCACTCACCTTCGATTTGTCGACAATATAGTCCTTATGGCATGACCTACACACTGCGCTGGCCGTATGAGGAAGCTTGAAATCGCTTAGCGAGCTATGAAGAGGGCTATACTCAGGGGTTCAAACTTAGGAATGAGGATATCTGCAGCAGAACCAGAGTGACCGACATCGTCCAATGAATTAGTACGCTGAAGTGGAAATTGACCGGCCACATAGCTCGAAGAATCGAATACCGATGGGGAAAAAAGGTTCTCGAGTGGCAGCCCCGTAGGCAGGTGAAGTGTAGGACGTTCCCCAACTAGATGAAGTTAAAACCTGGTAAGACATGCAGGAAGTTGATGGATTCAGGTAGCACAGGACCGTGCTTTGTGGCATTCCTTGGGGAAGGCCTATTTTCAGCAGTGGACTTGTGAAGGGTTTTAATGATGATGAATGAAAATGGCATTATATTAATATGATACATAACTAGAATGGACGTTACGGGTAGAGTCCATCTATCCATAGAGTCCATTCTATTTATTTAGGTATAGGTAGGGTATAGTAGTAGGGTAGGGTATGAGTAAAGAAACCGACTCTTTACGCTGTGGTAGAAGTACCACCGGTCGTCGAAAGTCGAGTGAGCGCGGGTGCTTTTGCAATTGACCTATGACTCTATTCCCTTCGTATAGATGCGATATTAGAAATGAGAAAGTGAGTGTACATGTTTTTAACAAAAAATAGTTCAAATACCATAATTTAAGTGGCCTTGGCCCGGTTTAAATTAGTCTTGTGTTTAAGTTTAATGACACGGTTTGTTTTTACTTTTTAGGCGCATTTGTTAATAATAATAATATTTTTAGTAAAATAAGAACTTAATTCAATTGTATATATTAGTGTTAATAATAATAATTACTTACTTACTTACTTATCTTCACGCACAATCCCTAACGGGGTAGCCAGAGAGAACAGATCGCCAAGTGTCACGATCCTTACATACCTCTTTCGCTTCTTTCAGGTTCATTAACTTCTTCATACATGCACGTCTAGGTATCCGAGTACTCTTGACCCTCCCCTCTTCGAGCAATTTGCTCACATGGTCTTCGAAAGTTAGTCTCGGTCTACCTCGACACCTTTTAATATTTACTTTCGCTCTATATATTTTCTTCACCATTCGGTCTTCACTCATTCGTTCAACGTGCCCAAACCATTGGAGTACGCCCCTATCAATTTTTGTGATAAGGTCATCTTTCAATCCTGCCATATTGCGAATCTCTTCGTTTCGCTTTCGGTCGGCTATGGTAACGCCACACATTTTACGAAGAGATCGCATCTCCACTGCATTCAACTTGCTTTTATGCTTCTTCTGGCATACCCAGGTTTCGCTGCCATATAACAAAGTCGGTTCCAACACTGCGTTACGTATTGCAAGGCGTGCACTCTTCACCACGCCTTGCCTTTTTACTAATGCATTCAGGGCACCATTGACTTTGTTTCCGGCAGAGACACGCCTATCCACATCTAAATCACATCTTCCATCCCGGCTGAAAGCACTCCCCAAGTATATAATTTCATTTACCTGTTCTAGACATTCCTGATTTACCCATATTTCACATTTCGTTCTCTCTTCGTCCTTTTCAAATACCAGAACCTTAGTTTTATTAGCATTCAAACGGAGACCTTTAATTTCACATTCCTCTTTCATACACGTGACTAATGCCTGCAGTTCTGCTTCTGATGGTGCAATAAGCATTGCATCATCAGCATATAGCAGACAATTAACTTTTATGTCACCCAATTTCACACCCAAATAGCTATTTTTCAGCTTCTGTAAACAGCTGTCGAGATACAGTATGAACAGCCAGGAAGACATGACACAACCCTGTTTTACGCCCGCTTGGACGCTAAACATGGGTCATAGTAAAGTGACTGCACAGCCCTTAGCAATCGACCATCCACACCATATCCCGGCAACAGTTCCCACATTTTCTTCCTTATAACCTTATCAAATGCTTTCTCCAGATCCACAAAAGCACAGAAAATCCTCTGGTTAACACTCAGAAGCTTCTCCGTGATCATGCGGAGAGAAAACATTTGATCCGTGCATCCTCTTCCAGGTCTAAATCCGCACTGTGCCTCCCATAAGAATCTTTCCGATTTCTCTTGCATCCTACGTGTCAAAACCTTCGAGTAAACTTTACTTGCTAAACTGGTCAAGCTGATCGCCCGATAGCACCCGCAGTCAAAATGTGAACCTTTATATTTATATAAAGGCACAATGACCGCGGATCGCCAATCATCCGGGACATCTCCCGTCCGACAGCACAAATTGCACAGCAGATGGAAGCTGTCCCAGACGCGAGGCCCACCGTACTTGACCATTTCAGCAGTAACTCTGTCTAGTCCCGCAGCCTTACCACATTTCAAACTTCGAATCGCACGTTCAATCTCTTTCATGCTGATGACCTCAGTGTCATCGAGGTCCGTGTCTGGCGTGCCAGTCACGGCGTCACACCCGGATCCTTCACTAAGATCATGACACGCATACATTTCTCTATAAAATTCACTCCATCGCTGCATGACGTCCGATTTTTCTGAGAGGACGTCATTGGTTCTCGAAAGCACTTTGTTCATTCTTAAGGCTGTCGCACCACTCCGGGACCTTCCAACCTCTTTCCAGAAGAGTTTGGAGTTTTCCCTAAAGTTGTGCGACAACCTCTCGTCCTCTTCTATTCCACACCTTTCACGTACTTCCTCAATCAATGTTTTCGCATGAACTTTCTGCAGCTTATATCTTTCTTTCATCTTCTCTCTCATATGCTCATCGTTACTAGAGGCCAAGTAGTCTAACCATGCTTTTTTCTTCTTTTTTTACAGCTTCTCTCACTTCATCATTCCACCATGCATCTCTTCTTTTACTACTACCTCTTTTTGTCGTACCACATACTTCTTCCGCTGCAATTACCATTTCATCCCTAAGGTTCTGCCACGTTCTCTCCACACATTCTTTCCTGCCATCGATGGTGTCAAGCTTTTCGGCTACCCTCGTGTGATATTTGTCCCTAGTATCTGCTTCCTGAAGCTTCCAGCTTCGGATGCGACAGACCGACTGTGGTTCTGTTACTGCCGTCCGGTAGCGCCAACCCGCGAACAAACCCCTAAATCTAGTAATTACTAGATAATGATCCGTTCCCAGGTCAGCACCCCTGAACACTCGTGTATCCATCACCTGTTTACGCAGTCGATCATCCACCAGGAACAAATCAATCATACTTCTCTCATTCTTTCTTTCTCTAGTGTACATATGGATTTTCCTGTGATTAAACATAGTGTTTGTTACAAGAAGACCCTTTTCCTTGCATACAGCCAGTATAAGCTTGCCAGCATCATTAACCCTTTTATCACCAAACTTTCCAAGCACCGACTCGTATCCTGGTCGAGCGATACCTACCCATCCATTCAAATCACCACATACAACAGTTCTTTCGTTTCCCTTAACCAAATCTAGAACTTCTCTTACATTCTCCCAAAACTCCTCCAGCTCAGCTCTGGACGACGAAGCTACCGGCGCATAAACAGCCAAAAGGAATAACTTCGTCAGTCCCATTTTGAAGCGAACCCAGAGAAGTCTTGAGTTCACAACCTTGTATTCAGTCATAAGATCGACCAACCGGGACGACAACAGCACTCCCACTCCCTGGCAGGCGTTCTCGCTTTCCGGGACTCCGGACCATATAGCTAACGTCCCGCTAGGGAGCTCTTCAGTACCACTACCTTTCCGTTTGGTCTCCGACATACACACGACATCTAATTCTATTTCTTTCATTATTTCGATCAACTCATTCGTCTTATCTCTCATGCCCCCTCTAACATTCCACGTGCCAACTCTGCACTCCGTCCTCCACCTTTCGCCGTGTCGGGCTGTGCGTGACGGGTGGCGGTCCCCATCGCCGCTTTGCGCGCTGCATTCCACACCAACGGGGACGAGCTGGTGTGCGTCGCCTTGGGGGGACGCCCTAACCCTCGTCTGCATGGGTGCGCAGCTGTGTAGAATTGCAGCCCTGAAAAGGGCTGGCAAGGGTCGCGACGAGCACGCTTCTACAATGACCCCCAAATTGGTAAACGGTAATTAGTGTAACTAAGTGTAAAAATAATACTAAAACTTTATGTGATAGTTATCAAAAATGTCTCGAAGTAATGCCAGTGTACTTTTCAAGTGATATTTTTATCAAACCGTGCGAAATGATTTAACAAATAAATAAATTTAACCATTAGCACCATGGCTAATTCTATACGAAACGGTAACAACGGTCGCAACGTTTTTCAATTGAACACTTCGTGAAACACTCTATTGAAGCCGCTATTAAAATAGAGTGTTTCAAAACTCTCTATTAAAATAGAGTGTTTCAAAAGCCGCTATTGATATTCGATAGATAGTTTCGTTTCGTTACTCAAAAAAGCCGCTACTACCCACCGCTACTATAGCCAGTCCAGCGTGCTTGTATATATAGAGGTCAGTGGCGCTACTGTCCACTTAACCGTTTATTGTCGCTACTGTACTTGTCGAAGTGTAAATCGGCTGTAAAATCGATTTGGTAAGTGGCAACACTGCTTGGCACTGTGAGGATTGAATTGAGTAGTATATTTATATTATGTCAAATTGTCAAAATATGGTCAAAATATTGAAAGAGAGAAGCTCATAGCGCTTGTGATTGATATTTAAAAGATCGTTGCTTAGTTATTTTTATTTAGTGTATCAGTTATTCTAATTTATTACCTGATAAACAATTTACATGTTTACTTTTACTTTTAATAGGCGAAATGGGGATTTCGTGTTATTTGGCTTGTTTGGTTTTATACATATTTTCTTTTCAAATTATAGCTACTAATTCACGCACCTCTAATATTTGGAAATTGGATGTTGACGAAGGTCTAATTGTAGATGGTAAAACATTGTCTCAGGTTAGTGTTAATTCATGTATTTGCTTTTATATAACTATTGTTACCATATGGAGAAAATCCCTGCTGTACATAAGACCCTTCATAGGATTTGGTTACTTAACCGGTTAGCCTTGATTTATGTTGTCCTCAAAGCCAACATATTTAAAAATATAAATAATTTTAGTTAAGGATGATTTTATATTTTAGTAAGTAATACTATTTTAATCTTTTTTCTGAGTGTAAACTACACTTTTCTTTAAATTCGTTTTAAAATGTTAAAAAGTATATAACATATTTTTAGGATGACAATGAAAAATCTAAAGTAAGTGAAGAAGATGCTGTATTCAACATCATTACATCAACAGTGTATTATGGTAATACTTGGACTAAGCATGGCTTTGATATGTTTTGCACAGATTGCCAGCCGTATGAGCAACAAAGGTAAAATATTGTTATTATGCTTAGCATATTTTTAACTGGCTCTAAAAAGGAGGAGGTACTCTATTTGACTGTATGTTTTTTTATGAGTTACCTCAGACCTTTTTTTGGGTGAACTGATTTTGATGATATCAATTATGAAGATGATTTTTTATTTTAAAGCTAGTGCTTATTGTGATGTCCAATATAAATTTGATCAAGATCCGAGTAGTAGTAGTAGTAGTAGTAGTTTTTGAGTTTTCCTTAATAATGCATATTTAATTATTTTAAATATTTAATTGACTTTCAATACATTGGTGATGTTATCGTTTTATTTATATTGAAGTCTTTGAACAATTATTTTTTAATTTTTCCACTTGTATAGAGTTTATTTATATATTATTTTACCTTAGAGTATTTTGTATTAGACAACCTGCAAATGGCACTTTTAAGATTTTTTGTGATTAGTAAGTACTATGAAGAAGAAATGTGTTATGTACATCAATATATTATAATACTTTACTCTATTTTATTATATAAATCTCTATATCTATTCTATATCTATCTATTATATAAATAGTCCCGGGATGTAAACGCTAGCGCTCTAAAAACGAAGTATAATTCCGCCTCCAGGTCCTAAAAAACTCATTGCCAAGGCAAAGTCAGAGCACATAGGCAGAATTGGCGAGAAACTAGTTCGCCTTCCTTCTGGAATCCGTGCATTCTGGTCTCTCGCCAAGGGTGTCCAGGGAATTTCTGTTAGCCATGTCTTCCATCTCTGCACAGTGAGGACAACTCACTGGCCCATACCGTAAAGGAGAAAGCCGATCTGCTAGGCTCTTTCTTTGTGTTCAACTCGATTCTCGATGACGGGATGAGTACGCCGCCGACCATCCCGCGGTGTGAGTGCTCCATGCCGGAAGTGCAGTTCACACAGTGCTCGGTTCGCAAAGCACTCCTCTCCCTGGACATCCACAAGTCGAGTGGGCCTGACGGAATCCCCCCAATTGTGCTGAAGACGTGTGCTCCAGAGTTGGTTGGAAGACGGCTTTCGTCCACCCGATCCCTAAAAAAGGCGACCGCTCAGACCCGTCCAACTACCGGCCTATCGCCATCACCTCCTTGTTCTTCAAAACAATGGAGTCTATTGTAAACTGCTAGCTCTTGGGGTACCTTGAGGATCACCAGCTGATTAGTGATCGCCAATACGGTTTTTGCCGTGGTCGATCAGCTGGTGACCTTCTTGTATACCTAACTCATAGATGTGCGGAGGCAGTAGAGTCCAAGGAGAGGCATTGGCCGTTAGTTTGGACATTGCGAAGGTCTTCGATCGGGTTTGGCACAAAGCGCTTCTTTAGAAAGCTCCCTTCCTATGGGCTTCCCGAGAAATTGTGCGATTGGATCAACAGCTTGCTTGCAGATCGAAGCATCAAGGTCGTTGTAGACGGTGCAAGCTCCGATTACAAGCCTATTAATGCTGGTATTTCACAAGGCTGCGTGCTATCGCCAACGCTGTTTCTTCTGCATATCAATGATATGTTGCAAACCCGTAACATTCATTGCTATCGGGGTGTCTTTGTCCGCGTTTTGTACCATTGTGTTGAAGCGAGTCTTTGCTGAACGGAGTCTCGGAATGGGGGCGACTAAATCTAGTCCAGTTTAACCCTCAGAAGACACAAGTTTGCATGTTAACCGCTAAAAAGAACCCATTTGTCGTATCTCCTCAGTTTCAAGGCACTCCCCTTGTTGCCTCAGCCAGTATCGGAATCCTCGGCGTCGAGAGTGACGTGCAGTTTCATGGTCACTTGGAAGAGAAGGCCAAATTGGCCTCTAAAAAGCTTGGCGTGCTCAGCAGAGCGGGACAGTCTTTCTTGCCGGCACACCACCTGCAACTTTATAAGGCGCAGGTTCGGCCGCACATGGAATACTGTTCCCATCTCTGGGCTGGAGCTCCCCAGTACCAGCTCCTTCCACTTGACCGCATCCAGCGCAGAGCGGCTCGAATCGTCGACGACCGAGTGCTTTCCGATTGGCTCGATTCACTGGCGCCGCTGCGAAGAGATGTTGCATCTCTTTGCATTTTCTTTCGCATATACCATGGGGAGTGCTCTGAGGAATTGTTCGGATTAATTCCAGCCGCCAAATTTCGTGAACGCACTACGCGGCAAACTTCCCGATACCATCGACACCATCTGGATGCCTGGCGGTCTACCACTGTACGTTTCACAAGGTATTTTCGACCTCTCTGTAGAATAGTTTACCACCGGCGATTTTTCCGGATCGATACGACCTGAGGACCTTCAAGAACAGAGCTTACTCCTTTCTAATGGACGGCGATAGTCACTTAACATCAGGTGAGCCGCATGCTCCTTTGCCCCCTCTTCTATAAAAAAGTACCACTTTTTATTATACTGTGGTAGTACTCAGTGGCGAAGCTTCCATTAAAGCCGAAAAGCCGGGCTTGCCTTATTAAACCTGAATCAATCAATAATATCAACTAATAAAATAACTCGTAAAATGTTTCAAGCTATTTCAAATTTCCCGCGCACTCCACTGTTCGACACATGTCGACCGATGACGCTTTCGAGAAGACGATCGCTCTCTTTCTAACCTATGGCAAAATATTCTATAATAAAATATAACTCCGATTGTATATATAGCAATTAGTATAGATATTTAAAGCCAGGCTTTTGGGAATAAATTTGTTAAAAGCGGAGGCGCGCGGGCAATACGTTTGCAAGTTCATTTCACGTTTCAATGTTTATTTACTCTGTGTGCTTATCTTAAGCGATTTAATATTACGAGTTCAAAATTTATGCTTTTTTAAAGATTTTTAATGAAAATGGAGGATAATAGTGTTTTGTGATGAATTGAAGTGTGTTAAAGTGATAATCGGAGAGGAAATCTTTACTTTGTTGAGATAATACACAAGGTTAAGAGTGTATTTCAGACTTATCAATTATGGCAATTAAAAACAGTTATTGGTACAATTAAAATGTTCACCAACATTTTATGTGGACGTAATTAAATCTTTCCATAAGAAAGCGAGACGATTCCACTTATCTTATCTCTTACCCATTAGAATGTAAATTTTTTTTAATTTTGTACATAGTTTGTTTATACTATTTGTTCGTGTTTTACTTTTGTTCATGTATTGTATTGGATGTAAATATTTTTTTTCTTTCGCTTAAACAAACCCATACGGCTTTCTTCAAAGCCACCGAAGCTATGCAATTGCTGATATGTAATACAATCTATCTAGCAGTGGTATGCCTTCTGTGTGCTTTGTTAAACACGTCCTTGACAGCACTGAATATGAAACTGAAGCATGGAGACAGATCAAGATTGGTGTATTTTTATAAAACTGCTAAAAACAAAATCTATATTTTTATTAATTTTATGGACTTGCCGGAGTACTTCGCCACTGGTAGTACTACTATTTATTCTGTGTCCTTAGGCACACAATACCTTCGTACCTTGTTGAACAAAACGCGTAAGAGACGCAGTTTTGGAGGCGTTTACAACTTTTTTCTCGCGAGCATGTATCTATAATGCTCTCATTTTCTCCTACATTAAATCTTATGAATTTATGTATCTGTGTCTTTTTACTGTCCCTTTTTCGTTTCATAGACTTTCAAATCACAACGATACTAAAGAAGTTTTCACTTAAAAAATATTGAGGGAAATATAAATAGTGCTCTTATTGCTACATAGCAATATCTTTCAGACAACCCAGTTTAAGAATAATTAAAAATAAAAGAAAGATTATCGTGCACTAAAATAAAAAGTGATACCATAAATATTTATTAATAGTTAGTAAGGCTTCTTTTAATTTCTAGGAGTCTATCTGGATAGGTACCATCAACTATTTTTTATGCCTAGCAGTAATTCATCCATTAGTAATTAAAACTATGAGGCATTCCATATTATAGTAATTTTATACTATCGCGGTCAACTCGTTTTTTGGTTGTTGAAAATCGAAAAATCATCCGATTTCGAAGATTTTTTTAAATCTTCATTATTACGGCGGATTTATAGAAAAAGATATGGAAAATATCTCACCTCAAGATTTCATATTGTTTATAAACGCACTTCTTCGAATATAATCGGTCATAACTTTTTTGCAAAGCGTTAAACGAAGTTTGTATATTTTTATTGTTAATCTACACAAAAAAAAACAAACATAAAAAAGTATTGAAAAATGTTTGTTTATTATTTTTTTATCTCACTTTAAGTTTTTGACTTTAAATGTTATCATAAACGCTCTAGAAAATCAAAAATCATCCGAATTTGAGGAGTTTTTAAGCTATTGCATAGCTTCTATCGCGGGCCTTGAGCGCGGGGACCGAATCCAGAAATTCCGTAACTAAAAAAAACCTCACGCTCCCCACTCCGACGGGCACGGAGGTGTGGCGTTGAAAGCCGTGCATCGTCTAACGTCGTTTCAGTTCGGCAGACTTCGGCACTCGGCAGTGTTCGGCACGGTGTTTGTGTGCGTGCGACTAGACGTATGCGTGTACACTAGCTGCTAACTCAATGATAAAAATTCCTGAATAACCTACATGTATTGTAAGATATTAAAAATATTTTAAACAATATTAACTTCTCATTTATTCAATAAGAGAAAAAAAATTGTTTTCTTATCGGTCACCACGCTCAAAAAGTGTATTTTGATTTAATATCAAAGACTTAACTGCATATTTTAATCTTCGTTTTTACGGACAAGATCGGAATGATATGAATTAACTTATATTCAAAAATAAATCAATAACTTATTACATACTCCTCGAAAAAAATCTTGTAATAAAATAAAAAAAGTTATGTAATCTTTGACAGTGATTGCTATATCTTAATGTAAAAAATGCATTTAAAAAAATTTGAAAAAAAATCACATAATAAAGTTTATTTATTAATTATTTAGCGAAGAGAGCTCGGGACTTAGGGCATCCCGACTCTGATGGAGGATGAGGTTGGAGATGGCGGGGTCTATTCGCTCGCTCACTCGACCCGGCCCCTTCTAACCT